TGGTGGTGCATTGGTTAAACACTTAGCTGGTAACTGAAAGGTTGGTGGCTTGAATTTATCAGCTACTCCCTGGGGAAAGATGTGGCAGTCTGCTTTCATTAACAATTTACAGCCTTGAAAACCCTCTGGGATAGTTATACTCTATTGTATAGGGTCACTATGAGTTGAAAATGATTGAAGAACATGGTACTGCATAACCATAACACAAAATAAGGTTATTATAGTTAACATTCTTGGGACATTTGTTCTAATACATTTAAACATATGGTCAATAATTGAGGTTAGTTAGATAAATCTTTATTTTAACTTGTTTTTAATGAACTTTCCTTCCCTAGTGGCTTCAGCAAAATCACACAACAAAGCTTCACAAAGCCTTCAAATGAGCTTTAAAATCACTGTATTAAGAAATCACCTATAAAAAGATACTGATACTGATAGGTTATAAAAACTGATGACTATTCCTCTTAACAGCGTTAGTATTTTTTAAAGAAAGTGTTCTCTTTTGTGTTATACTTTCAGGTTTTGTGTAATTAATCTCTGTATTATTTTAAATAGGATATTAACAAATCAGTTTTAGTATAGATACCAAGTTATAGAATTTGACACCCTGAGAGAACCTCAGTGATTCGTCTTCACTTAATGGACACGTTTAACAATGCACATTGCTATATTTTATGACTAACATAGCAATGATATAAATAAGCATATTTGTTAACTGGATTTGGGAATAATTGATCAGTTAAAAATAATACGATAAATGGAGGTAAGTTGTCAAAGACTTCATTTTGCTTGGAATACCATCAAAACTCATGGAAGCAACAGACAAGAAATCAAATGATGTATTGCATAAAGCAGATCTGCTGCACAAGACTTCTTTAAAGTTTTCTAGAGCAAAGGTGTCAGTTTGATGACTAGGTGCGCCTGACCCAAGCCATAGCATTTTCAGTAGCTTCATATGCATGTTAGGGTTGGACATTGAATTCGGGAGACCATAGAAGAATTGATGCATTTGAGTTATGGTGTTGGAGAAGAATATCAAAAGTACCATGGACTGCTAGAAGAACAAACAAATCTGTGTTGGAAAAAGTACAGCTAGAATGCTCCTTAGAAGCCCAGATGGCAAGATTTTATCTTTCATACTTTGAGCATGTTATCAGGAAGGACTAGTCCCTAGAGAAGGACATCGTGCTAGGTAAAGTGGAGTATCAGCAAAAAAGAGGAAGACCGCTGGTGAGATGGATGGGCACAGTGGCAGCCGCAATGGACTCACGCTTAAAAATGATTGTGAGGATGGCGCAGGACTAGGAAGTGTTTCATTCTGTTGTGCACAAGATTGCTATGAGTCTAAAGCAGTTCGACAGCACCTAACAACAACGACAACATCAACAGTTTGTTGATAGCTTTTGGTTGGTGGCGTATAAGCAAATGAAGGATCCCAAAAGCTTTACTTCAACTGTATCATTAAAGTCCGCTCCACTGCAAAAACATACCTTGTATTTTAAGTGCCTTCTAACTTGGAAGACTCATCTTCCAGCACTATAATGGCAGTATTTGGTTTCAATTAAAAGTTTCCACACTTTTGCTAGTTTACTTAGTCTTGGAAACTTGAATGAAACTTGTCCACCATTAGTAATCCTGTTGGTATCTGAAATACTGGTGGCATCACTTCCAGCATCATGTTGTTGTTGTTAGGTGCCATAGAGTCAGATCCGACTGATAGTGACCCTGGACCCAACAGAATGAAACACTGCCCAATCCTTTGCCATCCTCACAGTTGTCATTATGTTACAGTCCATTGTTGCTGCTGCTACGTCATTCCATCTTGTTGGAGGGTCTTTCTCTTTTTCGCTTATCTTCCACTGTACAATCATGATGTCTTTGTTCAGAGACTAGTCCTTCTTGGTCCCTCATGACAACGTGTCTAAAGTACCAGAGACAAAGTCTCACCATCTTCGTTTCCAAAGAGCATTTTGACAGTACTTCTTCCAAGACAGATTTGTTTGTTCGCCTTACAGTTCATGGTACTTCCAGTTTTCTTTTCAATACCAAAATT